AATAAATAAATAAATAAATAAATAAATAAATATTTTTAAAAAACAAAAACAAAATGAATAAACATTTAAAAAATAAATAAGTAAAAATAAAATCAAATAGAGATAATGTTACTTCTTTCTTTCCAATTCTGATGTCTTTTCTTTCTTTTTCTTCCTAATTAATATGGCTAGGACTTCCAATACAATGTTGAACACTTGTCTTGTTCTTCATGTTAGAAAGAAAGCTTTGGAACTTTCACAACTGAATATGATGTTAGATGTGGGCTGTCACATACTGCCCTTATTATACTGAGTTACACTCCTTCTATATCTAATTTGTTGAGAGTTTTTACCATGAACACATATTAAATTTTGTCAAAAATTTTAACTATTATTTTTTATTGATGGTTAATCATAATGCAAATAGTTTTTATTTGTTATGTTTACTTTACCATTATGAAATATTCATTTCAGGATACCTTTAATTACTGAACTTTCCTAACAAATTTGAAGTGTTATTTGATTTGTACAAATTTCCAAACTTTCCAACTTTCCTAAACGCATCAACTTTGTTGAGTAAGGTAGTTCGAAAGCCCTGACTTATGACTAAACAATAACAATGAGATGATGACTGGCATTTATTTAGTCCTGATGACTTTAGTCCAGCATTTAGGTCCTATAGTGCAATTACTATAAAATTAATCTCTTTACCCCACCTTTTTAGCATTTTATTTTATTTTACTGTTTTTTCATGATGATGTGTATTATTTAATCACCATATCCTATTTCACCAATCCCCCCATAATCCTCCCCTCTGGTAACCCTCAGTTTGTTCTCTATAATTAAGAGACTGTTTCTTGGTTTGTCTCTTTTTTCCTTTGTTCATTTTTTTTTTTTTGTTTCGTAAATTCCACATACAAGTGAGATCATATGGTATTTGTCTTTCTCTGACTGACTTGTTTCAATTACCAATATACTTTCTAGATCTACTCATTTCATGGCAAGATTTTCTTCTTTTTATGACTGAATTTCATTACACACACACACACCCCACATCTTCTTTATCCACTTATCTATCAATGGACACTTGGACTGCTTTCATAATTTATCTATTGTAAATAATGCTCCAATAAATATAGGGGTGCATATATACCTTTGAATGACTATTTTTTTGTATTTTTGGGGGTAAGTACCAGTAGTGCAATTACTGGATAATTGGATAGTTCCAGTTTTAATTTTTTGAGGAAACTGAATACTATTTTCTACACTGGCTGAACCAGTCTGCATTCCCACCAACAGAGCAAGAGGATTCCTTTCTCCACATCTTCACCAAGACTTATGTCTTGTATTTTTCTATTGTAGCCATTTTAACAGGAGTGAGGTTATATCTCATTGTAGTTTTGATTTGCATTTTCCTGATGATGAGTGATGTTGAGCATCTTTTCATAAGTCTCTTGGCATTTGTATGTCTTATTTGGAAAAATGTCTATTCAAGTCTTCTGATCATTTATTACTATTTTTTACATTTAAATTCAAGTTAGTTAACATACTATACTCTTAGTTTCAGGAGTACAAGAATAGGTATTAGCTCTTCTTTAAATGTTAGGTAGAATTCACTTCATATATGAATTCTGGTCCTGGACTTTAGCTTTTGGGAGTTGTCAAATGGCTTTTCTGCATTGATTGAGATGATCATTGACTTTTACCTTTCATTCTATGAATGTAATATATCAAATTTATTGATTTGCACTTATTCAACCATCTTTGCTTCCCAGGGATGAATCCTACTTGATCCTGATTATTCTCCTTTTAATGTGAGTCT